TTATTCATACCAAATACGAGGTGTTTGATGGAGCGATGAATGTGACAAATATAGCCACTATTGAGGGCAAATATCAGGGCGAGTTTATTGAGCTAGACCAAATTGGCACCGGTAGTTTTGGTCAGGTCTGATAAAACTATACACGCCATCAAAATCATCAAAATATTGACCGATAGTAAGATTTTATTTTGATTTACAACATACATAATCAATACCTTGTATACCAAAAAATGCGGTACAGTATTAACAATAATTGTATAATTTTGTAAAGATATAAGTCATGAGAATTACGAGTCGATTATTAAAGAGTGTCAGCTATTGTCTAAAGTCAACAGCGATTTTGTGGTTGAGCTCAGAGACGCCTGGATTGAGGGCCAGGAAGTGTACATTCAGACAGAGTTTTGTGACAATAATCTGCGGGATATTATTGATGCCAAACAACAGTTATTCGGTGGCAGTGCCTCCAGAAACTCGGTTGGGGGCCACGAGTTGGCACTAATTGACTATTTTATTTCAATCGAGATATTTGAAGAATTAGTGAAAAGCCTAAACTATTTGCACACTTTGGACACACCTATTATTCATAGAGATCTAAAACCAGAGAATATATTACTTAAGGATTCAGTGGACGATAATAATAAGCAGTTCCTGAAAATATGTGACTTCGGGTACGCAAAGACTCATAACTATAGTGGACAGTCACATACTAAGGACAAGGGCTCTATTTCCTATATGGCACCCGAAGTATTCCTTAGCAAACATTATGACCCGAAGTCCGATATCTATAGTTTAGGACTCATTTTTGCGGAAATCTTTGATGTGAACGCCTATAAGTAAATATAATTCTCTATTATTAATTGAAATTAATTAATAAATTAATTACTATATAAATAGCTTCGAGGAATCAATAAAAAACAAATTATTGCGAGAAAAATATGAACTCCTGGAGGGACCGCTTCTGGAGATGCTAACAGAGCCACAATACGATTTGAGACCTACCTGTGCTAAACTGTTGTCCGTAATAAATGGTTGGCGATTAACAGCAGTTGAGTTAATAACAATACAGACGTACTCTAATACAATCAAAATGTTGGACACTTTTAAGAAAAAGTTTTTCCATAACTTTCTCGTAACTAAACTTAATGTTAAACTCGAGTCGAGCAATGAGTCCAATAATTATCAATTGGGAAGTGATGTAAAAAATGAGGAACAGTTGGAAACAAATATTGAACCATCATTTTCAAGAAAATCAAGTTTTGCTAATATTCTGGATATGGATATAGAAGAGGGAGATATCATTGAGATTAAGGATAAAGTAAAGGATGAGGTCAATATTTGGGCCCTTTATGTGGGCGAGGGTTATGTCATGTATTACTGTCCTAAAAGTCAGGAATTATTGAGAGACAAACTTGAGACAGTGTCTAAGGATAAGGACTATTGTGTTAATAATTTAATACAATTTTCGCAATCAAAACAACTGTCCGTTCAAAGCGTCGATACTATACTGGCGACGGCTTCACGAGTGTTCAATAGGAATGAAACGTTTGAACCAAAGGTTAAGACCAAACATAACCTGAGAATACATTTCGTTACGAAATGCCGGTTCGGACGACAGTTTTGTGAGCGGTTAGAGTGTAAGGAACAGGTGGCCGGACATGAAGTGAATATATTTTAACTTTATTTTATTTAAAATTATTTTAAATAATTAAATAAATAAAAGTTTGCAACAAATTTGTATATTGTATTACTTGAATAAAGATTTATTATGACTTTAATAATCTCAATGATTTAGATAAAAGTAATTTTATTATGTAATGAGAAAAGGATCTTAGTTTAAATTTAATTTTATAATTTCACTTGTAAACTGTTTATAGAATCTGTAAATAAATGTGCTTTCAGCAAAAAATATACATATATTTATTTATTTAATCGTTAATATAAATTTAAAATTTCTCACAATTAAATTTATGTATTTATTATTCATACCAAATACGAGGTGTTTGATGGAGCGATGAATGTGACAAATATAGCCACTATTGAGGGCAAATATCAGGGCGAGTTTATTGAGCTAGACCAAATTGGCACCGGTAGTTTTGGTCAGGT